GGGCCACTGGCACTCAAGGCTCTTCACCATCTGGTGCTGACTCTTTCTTGCCTGGCTCTTTCCCTTTTGATCACCTGGCCCAGAAAGGCCTTTCTCTCTAAACTATTTATCTTATTTCAACATGTCCAAATCCTACCCATTCTTCAAAGCACGGTTTAAAAGTCACCATTCCCTTTGTCCTTCAACTAAAAGTAATCTCTCTCTCCTCTCACTACACTCATGTATTACCTTATCTATAATTCTTTACCACACAATACTTTCTGCCTTACATTATCTTTGCTTCCATATTTAACCCCCCACAAGAGCACAAAAGCCTCAGGGTCCAGGTTCATGACTTATGCATCTCTATTCAAAGTGCTTAACGCAGTGTCTTGCACATACTAGTATGAGGCCCTCCAACTAAGCTACATGAACAACTTGGGTTAAGAGAGAAGTGAAGTCCACTGGAAACAACTCCAGATTAGGAATCCGGAGACCTGGCTTTGCTAACAACTAGCTATATAACCTTCAACTTTAGTCTTTTACCATGTATATCAGCAAAGTAAAGAGGTGGACTAAACCACTATAAGCTGTTACATCAAAACATATTTAAGGGTCAAAACCCAGGTTTTTTAAGTAAAATTAAATAGAAAATATCAAAGTGTGTTGTAGGCAGCAGAGTGCTATAAATGTTTAACAGTGGCTATACAGAGTGGTAAAAGCCCTGAAATATACCATGTGCTGATTCCCCTGGTGTAAATACTGCCACCAAGGCTGATTTCAAGCTACCAAATTGATGTCACTGAACACGGAGCTAAGTGGGAAGAGAAATGCGTAACTGCCTTGATGAGACAGTTCTAGCAAGGTCCTAAAAAGGTAAGTATTGTTTTTGCCAAACTTTTCTTTCAACTTTGTGTGCAGGTGTTAAATCAGGGTGTATGTATTTCTTACAATAAGTCACAATCAAAAAAATTTAATAAATATTCAGCTAAACAATCACCTAGTCTCTTCTACATGTACTACACAATGCAATAAATCTTACTCTTGGGAATATATGTAGTCTCTTCACCACAATTTGTATTTCTCTGCAAAAATGAAAGTAACAGAGGCAAATTACAGGGAGTGGAAATTTGGCTTAGGAAGTATCAGCAAAGGACCAAGATTCTCAGCCTTTGTTCACCCCCACACACCTGAGAGAGACAACATATTCCCACAAGTAGCAAAGGCTCATTTGGCAAAGGGTTGAGGGAAGAGGAGGAAAGGGAAAGAAAACCTATACTTTGAAAACAAAAATCCAAATATTGTGATGCATGTGCCACGCCCTCACCCCTCTGAGAACCTAGGTACAGAGAATAACAGTATTGTAAAAAAGTAAGTTTCCATACTAAACATTTCCAAGCCAAAATTCTCCAGCATAAGCTTGCATCCCTCAATGAATTCCCTACCAGAATTAAGTTTTTGCCATGGATTAGAGGCATGTAGCACTTACTGAATTTAGAATAGGCAAGGGGGGAAATACCACAGCAAACAGTTAGACTGCGGAGTCTAAGAAAACCAGGCTTTTATTCAAAAAATTACTTTCTTATTTTCTTACTTCTTATTTAAGCTTTCTAAACTGGGTAAAGGGAGGAGAAGTTTCTTGACTATATTTCTGGCTGTACTATGTCTATCACAACAAAATCTGTAACCAGATTTTTCATGAGTGTTTATAAATAATTGTGTTTTCTATTTTTAAGACTATTTAGAAAACAAGAAGGCTCAGAATTTCAAATATAGGCTCAGAATTCAAATCTTAGCCCAAATCTAACTCCAAATCAACTGAATAAATGCCTAAAAGTTTCCAAGGAAAATCCCCAAAAATTACACCAAAAAATCCCCCCCAAAATGTCAGAAAGGAGTCAGCATGAGCACAAACCTGCTGTACTCAAACAATGACAGCATCCTAGCTGCTGAATGAGTACAATATGGAAAGTAAATGAAGTATGAAACGGAGAATGTTGAGATACAAGTTCTTCTTAATTCCATTAACTCTTTCTTATTAGGGTCCATTGACCATAAAGTGAAAATCACTCCCTACTCTAAAAAGCCAAGAGTCAAATCAAGTCTTCATGCTGAGAATATCAATGCTCTCCTTAAATATTGAGTATGGTGACCAGCCTTCATTGCTCAGTGGTTGAGTGTCAACCTATGAACCAGGAGGTATGGTTTGATTCCTGGTCTGGGCACATGCCTGAGTTGTAGGCTCAATCCTCAGCGTGGGGCATGCAGGAGGCAGCCAATCAATGAGTCTCTCTCATCACTGATGTTTCTAGCTCTCTCTCCCTCTCCTTTCCTCTCTGAAATCAATAAAAATATCTTCCTTTAAAAAATAAAAACATTTGTCAAACATAGCAAAAAACTCTGATCCTGGGAATCAGATAGGCTACAGAATCTATTTCATTCTCCAAACACTCTATCCAGCCATAATCATCCCCACATCACTTCAAGACAATGGCAAGCTAGAATGCAGACCCTCAATACAAAAAAAAAAAAAAAAAAGTTTGCTACTCCTGCCTTCAAAGTTAATCTCTACAAGCCTGGCTATCTCCCACTCATAATATTTTTACTTAGCACAACAGAATTCCTTCTTTTGACTACTACAAAAGAATGGCTAAAAATGTTTTCAGCTTTAATGCTGTATCATCTGAGTTCAAATAAATATACAAGAATTCAACAAATTCAGCTGAGACCTGTTTGGCTCAATGGATAGAGCGTCGGCTTGGGGACTGAAGGGTCCCGGGTTCAATTCTGGTCAAGGGCATGTACCTTGGTAGTGGGCATATCCCTAATAGGGGGTGGGCAAGAGGCAGCTGATTGATGACTCTCGCATCGATGTTTCTAACTATCTCTCTCTCTTCCTCTCTGTACAAAATCGATAAAAAAATTTTTTTTAAAGAATTCAACAAATTCAGTATGGGTTAAGGCAAAAATAATTTTTAAGTACCAATTTTAGAAGTCATAAATTTAGAATCAATGAGCTGATAAATATGAAAACTCCTGCTTCAGTGCCTAATAAAAGTCTGTCATTCAAATAAAAAACATAATAACTACTAAAAGAAAAAGAAAATATGAATCATAAAACAAGTAGCAAAGGAATAACAATTCTCAGACTATCTCAAGTATAATATATACAAACTGGCATCAAATAATTCAGACCCCAAAATAGCTTCATACATTTACAGTCACATCTTTTTAGGTCTATTCACTATATGCCCCAGTAATACTGGGACCTACTTACCTGTTTCTAGCTTTCTAGCATACAAAGTAGGCTAAATATATGTTCACACATAATCACTGTCCAATGACATCCAATTCCCTCCAGATGACTTATTAATACATAATATTGATATAAGAGCACAGCCCAGCTGGTGTGGCTCAGTGGTTGAGCCTTGACTTAAGAACCTGGAGGTCACAGTTCCTTTCTGGGTCAGAGCACATGCCCAGGTTATGGGCTGGATCCCCTGTGTGATGCGTGCAGGAGGCAGCCCATCAATGATTCTCTCAACATTTATGTTTCTCACTCTCTCCCTCTCCCTTTCTGAAATAAAAATATGTATATTTTTAAAGAGCCCATTTTGAATTGATTTAATACAGACACCAGTCTAACTCAGAATCTCAACTAACTCCCCAAGCAGGTGAGCACTTAAGTACAATTTTATGATAATGGTATACATGAAATTCATCTTGTCTTTCCCCTTTGCAAATGTCAACATCAGTTTCATACGGGACTCTCTACTGAGATCATGAATCACAGGCCAGTGTTCCAGGGCTACCAGCTTGTGGGCCAATATTTTCCATGGGCAAAATCCACTCCCAATTTGACCACAAGCAGCCTTCGTGTTTTGTATTCTCCTGATGTCCTAGTATTGGCTATCCTTGGAAGTACAGCAGAAACCAAACAGAAACATGAGTCTGAGAGAGAAAAAAAAGTCAGAAAGGTTTTCACGAAATTGCGTTCTCAGAATCGTCACCAGCAACCACGTAGCTCCCCCCACCACCCTGCAGGCACAAGGAAATTGACATGTATGAAACACGCAGGCCTTGAGATCAGTTTCCAAACAGCCCTGAAATCTGTCAAGCAAACAGAAGTTCTCCCTACAGTGTGAGATTGGCGGCTCCCTCCGCTTGCATGAAACCCTCAAATCTGCCGCCGACCACCTCCATGGGGGGACGTGCTCTAAGCTAAGCCTGCCTGGGAGGTACAAGGGGGGCACACACACACACAGGCACCTGGGGTCAGAAGCCCAGAGTCAGTCCGGTCCCCTAGCGCCCGGCCACCCGGCCGCCGGCCCGGGGGTCCCTGTCCACATGCTGACGCGCCGCCGCCCGCCCAGCCCCGCACCGGGGCCGCCCGGCGCCAAGTGCTCGTCCGTCTCAGAAACTTTGGCTCCGTCCACTCTCCGGACTCAGCACCCACGGCCTGGACGGGGGCTGTCGCGGCCGAGGGGGCCACTTCCTTGCAGGTAGCGATCTGCCCCGGACGCCGCCCATCCCACACCCCCAAACCACAGGACTCTCCCTGCCGCCGAGCCCGGCGAGTGCCGGGCGGAGACGGGGGAGTGCGAGGGCGCGACCCGGGCGCGAACGGAAAGCAAACCCGAGTGTGGGCACGAAAACACCCTCTGCCCGGAGCCCGCGGGGCTCCTGCGGCGGCGACCCCGGCGGCGGCCACGGCGGCGGCGAGGGCAATGTCAGGAGGGCACGGCCGGGGCCGAGCGCCCCAGCGGCCACCCGCCGCCAGGTGAGGGGCGCCCGCCGCGCCCGCCCCGGCCGCCCCGGCCGCGAGGAGCCGCCACCGCGGGGAACCTCGGAGTCCGGGCGGCGACCGACGGTCCCGAACGCGCCCCATGCCCTCCTCCCGAGGTCCCCTCGCAACGCGGCCCGGCCTATCCCCCCTATCCACCCCCCCGACCCTCCTCCCTCAGCTCAGCCCGGGCGCCAGCACCCCCGCCGGCCCGCCGCCCGCCCGCCGGCCGCCTCACCTCCTCACGTCCCCTCGGGCAGTGCCGCCGCAACTCCGCCAGGCGCCGCGTCCCCGCCGCCGCCGCCGCCCGCGCTCTGCGGCCGGGCCGGTCCCGTTCACTCCGCGGCCGCCGGAGCCGCGGGAGGGCGGAGGGAGCGAGCGGGAGGGCGGGGGAGAGGCCGCTGGCAGGAAGAGGCGAGGAGGGTGCGGGCCGCGGAGGAGGCGCGTCGGGGGCGCGCACGTCGGGCCGTCGGGAGCGGCGCGCGCGCTCCCGAGGGCGGCGGCGGCGGCGGCGGCGGCGGCGGCGGCGGCGGCGCGCGGGCCCGGCCTGGCCACGGGGCGGCGGGGCGGGGGCTGGAGGGCCCTCGGGGCCTGGGCTCAGAAAGGTGGGGGCCCGGGAAGGGGCGAGAGGGGCTCGCGGCCCCCCGGAGACGCCGCAGCAGCGGTACTAACTAGTTAGAGAATTCTGAGGAGGGAGCGGTTGTTTTCTTGCTCATAAACCTTGTTTCCATACTTTCATTAATGCCCAGTCCTCCTCAAAGAGTCTGGGTCTCTTTCACGGTGTCAGGAGCTCAGGAAACGCTCCCTGGTGAGTGGGTCCTGTGGGACTCGGGAGATTGGAGAGGGAAATAGCCTCCGGGATTGAACAGGAGGAGCGCGCTGAGCACTGCCTGGTGTGTTTATAAGAAAACGTGCCCTTGTGTGCACCTCTTTATCCCTTGGGGTAATACATGGGGGTGTACGAACTAGGTAGAGATAAAATAACCAGCTCTTTTCCTCTACAAATATTGTACAAAAAAAAAAAAAAAAAAAAGCATTGATCCTTGAACTGTGTGGACTTTCTTCTTCCTGGATCTTGCAGCCAGAAATGACCTGTAAATGTTCCCGATTTCCTCAGCACTTTGTTTCTATGTTTTGGCCCCAAATATTCAACCTTATCTGTGCAAAAGGTTATCCCCCTAGAAAATCCTGGAGAACCTGCTTCATCCGTTTTTGCGTCTTCCACAAAGCCTAACATAGGAGGTACACAACTCACAGGAACTACTCCAGCCCTGGATGGTTTGCTCAGTGGATGGAGCGTCTGGCCTGGGGACTGAAGGGTTCTGGGTTTTATTCCAGTCTGGAGCATATGCCCGGGTGGTGGGGGTGTGCAGAAGGCAGCCCATCAATGATTATCTCTCATCATTGATGTTTCTCTCTTCTTTCTTCCTCTCTGAAATCAATAAAAATATGAAAAAAAATAATAAAAGTTTTAAAAAGTACTCCATAAATGCTACTGCAGAACAAGTGAATATAGTGCAGGAAGACTTAATTTAATACATGGGTCTAACGATTTGACTCTACAATGACTCCTTTCATTTGAAATTTTCCCTTCTGTCCCCCGTCAATTCCCCCACACTCATTGGCCCACCCAGATCCAAAAGCTTCTGAGAAATATGACCTTGGTCAACAAACCCTCTCTCCCAAGTTCTTTTTCTTTTTTCCTAATTTAAATGTCTCTAGGAAAAAACCAGTGTGGCAACTGTGTGGTTTCTCCCCGCTGAGGAGCTCCTTCTCTGAGGTCCTTTATTAACCTCTGTAGCCCAAGAGCGTAACTAGCTGGAGTTTTTATATTTAATCGAGGTAGGGTTAGAATAACTCAAATCATCCATTGATTTCCTGAGATAGTACCTACCAATAAATCAGCCAAGAAGTTGGTACTGGGCCTCTCCTGAACAAAGTACTAGTCAAGTTACACTAGGCGCCATGAGAAAGTCACAGGTCAAAAAGCTGTAGTTCTGCCTCCTGGTGTCTTCTAAATAGATTTTGACAAAAAAGGGCAGCACTGTGGTAATTATCTGCACTCGGTAAGAGAAAATAAAAATTTTAAGTGGTAAGTCCAAAGCAAATATAGTGTTCCCCAAATTTAGTTCCATGTACCTCTGAAAGCAGTAAGAATGGCCACCAGGGGCTGTTTAATCCCATTAAAGTGAAGCATGTGGGAGACCCTTCCCCCTCCCCTCGTGGGAGTCCATTCTGTGGGGCTCTTCCCTCTCCCCATGTCGGATTCTGTACTTGTTCTGCAATAAATCTCCACCTTTGCCATACTAAAAAAATAAATAAAAATAAAGTGAAGCATATTATCTAAGTCACTAGTATAGGATCAATCCAGGTGCCAGCTTGTTACAAGAAAAAGAAAAACTCTGTCCCATGGCCACATGTCACACCTCTAATCACCAGGGGTCACTCTGTAACACTGAACTGCTCCTCACAATAGAACCCAGATAAGAGATGTCACACGAGAACCGAGAACCGAGATAGCAGGCAAGTCACAGGAGAACCTAGATAAGAGACAGCGAAGGTGATTTGTTAGAAACTCATCCTTACCACGAGGAAAACAATTCCTAAGTCCACACCAACGAGTTAATAATAAAGCATTCCTCATATGGTGTGTGCTGCTCACTTCTCTCCCCGCTATGGCTTCCTTTACATTAAAACTATCCTAGCAGCCCGAGTTCAGGAAAGGCCTGAAGTTCTTACTTTTGGAGAAGGTGTTATAAAATATTCTACATGATAGAAACTGGTGGCCTAGGTCCAAATCTAATACACAAATATATTTTGTTTAAGCATCTGAATGATGCTTCAAAAAAAAAATTTTAGCCAAAGTAAAAAGTCAGTGGGTTTCTCTTTAAAACATAGATTTGGTCCTGGCCAGTTTGGCTCAGTGGATAGAAGAAAGGAAGGGTCTCAGGTTAGATTCCGGACAAGGGCAGGTGCAAGCAATCGAAGTGTTTTCCTCACATCAATATTTCTGTCTCTCTCTCTCTCTCTTTCTTTTCTACTCTCTCTAAAATTCAATGGAGCCGAAACCGGTATGGTTCAGTGGATAGAGTGTCAGCCTGTGGATTGAAAAGTCCCAGGTTTGATTCTGGTCAAGGGCATGTACGTTGGTTGCGGGCATATCCTCAGTAGGGGCTGTGCAAGAGGCAGCTGATCAATGATTCTCTCTCATTGATCTTTCTAACTCTCTATCTCTCTCTCTTCCTCTCTGTAAAAAATCAATAAAATATATTTTAAAAATAAATAAATAAAATAAAATTCAATGGAAAAATATCCTTGGGTAAGGATTTGAATTATTAATTAATTAACTAATTAATTAAAAAACGTAGAAGATTTGGTAACAGTGGGCTTACATTTTCACCTGGCGACAACCACAAGACATGCATGCTTTCTCCCCACAGTTTCTCTTCCCTCATCTGGTCTGCAACTTCTGACTTAAAATATCATAATGTAACAAAACTTGGAACAAGTTAAATATTGAACAAAAATGAGAAAGTGAAAATTATGGTATTTAATGGGGTGGAATATTATAATGCTTTTATAGTGGGCATTACTAGTCGACTCCCCAATATGTCTTTCTACTCCTCTGAATTATGAAGCAGCCATTGATGTAAGAACATCCAAACCTGTAAATAATTTGTATAAGAATTTATTTGAGACAAACAATTGACAGGAAGTTCTCAAATGCTCCGGAGAATAACAGTTATGCAATTTCTTTTGTGCATTTGAAATTAAGGAGGGAATGTAAAGAAGATTCCATGAAAGTGGAAGAAAACAAGGCAGGGAGGGGTTGGAGTACAGGATAGTCAAGCGAATGTGCTCTCTTGAGGGTGGTTACACCTTGGAGGGCTATTACTTCTGGCATTTCAAAGGTGTGTTGACCTAAATGCACAAGAACAATTGATGAGCTTGCTTAAAAACCTGTCACTAAAAAAGTTATAGGCCCGGAGCATGACTACCCAACATGACCTGCCCAGCTGGGAATTTCTTGTCAGATCACCCTGTGAGGTTATTTTCCATAGAATCCCTTTTTTGTTCACACAGCAAGGATTCAAATGGGAATGGGCCCAGATCCAGGTGTGGGCCCTAATCGATGTACATAGTTGGCCGAATCTCATCCTCCCCAGACACTTTGAGAATTCAAGGGTAGACACTAACGCAAGTCTACATTGGTCCAATCATAAGGAAGGCCAGACCTTGTGTATGTTGGGAGAAGAGATGTCCTTTCCCTCTTACTCTGGTTGGTGTGATGGGTGGATGTGAATCCTGTTGTTACTGTTTCTTTGCTACCATGAGGGAAGCCAGCCTGAGGATAAAGCGGGCAAAGATGGAAGAGCTTAAACCCAGGGTGAAGCCCTACCCTTACTTTAGATTCAGTTAGTTTCCCAAGCCAATACATTTTCTTAGCTATTTAAGAAAGTTTGAATTTGACTTTTTATTACTTGCAGCCAAAACTAAATTTTTCATGTATAGTTACAGAAGAAAAAAAAAGCTGTAGTTACATTCTCTGACTTTTCTAAGGATATATTTCCAATGGAATGAATAAGTAACAACCTACTTGGTAAATTTTAGAGGATCCTGAAAGGAATTTGACCACCCTGCAAAAATCCTTTCCTGACTAGCTTACCTGAGAATACATCTTTTTTTTTTAGTTTTGAATTAAATCTTGTGCTCGATTTAAATAAACTTTTCCTGAAAAAGAATACTTCATGACTCTAATCAGTAATCTATAAATGAATTTGTTAGATGGTTTTGTTGTTGTTGTTGTTTACGGTTTTTTGTTAATACATCTGAGAGTATTTTTTTAAATATATTTTATTGATTTTTTACAGAGAGGAAGGGAGAGAGATAGAGAGCCAGAAACGTCGATGAGAGAGAAACATCGACCAGCTGCCTCTTGCACACCCCCCACCAGGGATGTGCCCGCAACCAATGTACATGCCCTTGACCGGAATCAAACCTGAGACCTTTCAGTCTGCAGACCGACGCTCTACCACTGAGCCAAACCGGTTTCGGCATGAGTATTTTTTAAATATATTTTTTAAATTGATTTCAGAGAAGAAGGGAGAGGGAGAGAGAGATAGAAACATAAAATGATAAAAGAGAATCATTGATCAGCTGCCTTTTGAATGCCCCACATGGGATGGAGCCCACAACCTGGGCATGTGTCCTGACTGGAATCCAACTCCTGATTCTTGGTTGACACTCAACCACTGAGCCACAACAACCAAGCTGAGGATAATTTTCCATTTATTTATTTGTTTGTTTGTTTGTTTGTTTGTTTTAGAGAGAGTAGAAGGGGGGAGGAGAGACACTG